TGCTTCTGGAGGGTTGGGCGGCGTATCATGACACTTCGGACGTCATGAAATCATCCGTCCAAAACTGTCCGTTCTGGTGGAATCGTTCACCTGCAGTGGTAGGATCAGGGTTTTTGCACAGGTGGTGAAAGAAGACCTGGTCCCGAGGGCAACGCTTTAAAGTCACGCGAACAAATTTCTTAAGGAAAAGAAGAGTATTTGACCGAGCCCTTGGCGCGGAAAGACGGCATGATTGTTATTGCGTGTCACGTGGGGCTACGGTGGACTTGAGAAAGATGTCACGTACTCCAACGTACGGCTTGGGCTATTTTACAAGAAGAGACCACACCTGACCAGGTAAGGAGGCTGTCTGGTGGGACTGGAGCGCAGTCTGCTCCTGGCGGGCCGGTCAGACGACGCCACGGGGGGGGGGGGCTGCGCTGGGCGGGGGGGGGGGGGGGGGGGGGGATTGTGATGAAGTCGTTGGGGCGGGGGTCGGCCATAGCGTGATAGAGTCCACTGATCCCGCTCGGACGGGCTGCGCGTTCATAAAACTGCCCAATCGCACTGGGTCTGGACAGAACGAATGGATCCGTTCAGTGGGCCCGCCCAGCACTTTGATAGAGCGTTTGCGGTAGACGGTGACTTTCAGCGTCGGAAGTAGCTGCAGGGTAATATCACCCGTTGGGGTGGACACAATGAATAATAATGGGCTTAGGTGTGAGCTCAGCACACCTGTTTGGTGTCTAATCAATAGCCACTGCTGCTGCCTTCCAGCGCCGAGCATTGTCTTAATGGCCTACGGAACTGCGCTTGCAAGTGTTAGCGCAGTTCATTAGCATATGTGATGGTGCTGAAAGAAGCCGTCCGTACTTCGTGCTGACGAAAACCGGTATCTTATTTGCGTTCATGGTGCATGGCAGTGGTGGTTTGTGTGTACCTTACAGTGTTGTTTTCATCTACGGTGATAAGGTTGAGTTAAGTGAGGTTATTGGTGTGTGAAGCTTAATGTTGAACATCAATTTTCCCCTGTTCCAAGTGCACTAGTGCATTTTGCTAAGAAACGCAAATAGCCTCTTGTTGCGGTCCTTAGAGCAATCATTTTTTTTTTGCAAATTTAGCGACATCGGGGAAATACTACTTCGAATTGCTTTTTTGTCTATATCAGAACAACCACCCACCAAATAAATTTAAGGGAATGTGTCACCCTTTTAAAATGTTGAGGCATGCATCACGCATGACGAAACAAGCCCACTTATAACTATTGGTATGCTTTTAAATAGAAAAGACTACTCTAAGCGACACGGTTTCTCTGTCAAGTACTGTGGCTTCATCTACCCTGCCGGCAATCTCCGTACGCACCTCCGCTCGTTCCCACTGACCAGCCCCGGCTCCCCTCCGGCGCCGGCGTCCTCCGCAGGCCAGGTACGTACATCCATTAGCACCGGGACTCGCCAGAGGCCAGAGGATGCGCATCCTCAGGCACCGGGGCACGTCAGAGGCCAGAGGATGCGCATCCTCAGGCACCGGGGCACGTCAGAGGCCAGAGGATGCGCATCCTCAGGCACCGGGGCACGTCAGAGGCCAGAGGATGCGCATCCTCAGGCACCGGGCACACGGGGCCCATGCGGGTATCTTCATATCAACGCACAAGTAAACATGCTCCTTGATACGTCATTATTTGATTTCGTCATAGTAGGTTGTACAGCATTGATTTAGAGCCAACTGACGGCCGTGATATCTGGAAATCGTGCTCACGAACACCAGAAACCAACGACTTGACCACCGCATTTTTCTTGACCTTGATTGTCGCATGAATTATGGGATGACAAAATTTCAATGACGTTATTATGAGGTCATGAATGCAAAGATGACCCTGAAATACTGTCCCCGAAATAGTCTTCTCATTTTCGCTGGCGTGTGGCTCAAAATTGGTAGTTTAGGCTTAAATAGGGCAAGGCTGTAAACTGGAACGAAATGTGTTTTAAGATAGCTGTTTCAGCTCAAAACGCCGTAGAAATGTAAAACGCACCTTTCAAAGGGAATGTTCCACATTTGTATGACGTTTTGAATTGAAAGAGCCATCTTGAGAACCTTTGACGTAGTTCACAGTCATGCCATTTTTGAGACCCAAAACAATCAGGTTCCTGAGCTACACGTCCGCAAAAGTGCGAAAAGCATTATTTGGAGCCTATTTCAAAGTTGCCTTGGCATTAATGACGTCATAGAAACGTCATGCGATCGCGGCCATACTACAGGCCGTTTTCTGTTCATGGTCAAAACAGCTTGGCCGGTGGTACATTGGCGAAAGCGATGATGCGACACATATGACACAATGTGCGGAAGATGCTCGCCTGTTACCAAGGTTTCGCTGCTGAATGTGCGTCGCGAACGTAAGCGTGAGCGCTCTCCGGTTGTGCGGCACTCATCGCGAACCGGTTATTTTCCCCTTTTCTAGGCCACAGGTCAATGTTATAAAAAGGAACGAAATTGCCCCACAAAACATACGGCACCCCAAAAA